ATATATAATGTTCGTCAATAATAAGTGTAAAAGTTGAATGAGTTGAAGAAATGAAATGAAGATTGAAATATTGAAGATTGAATTTTTTGAAAATTTTGATAAAACAAAAATCATTGCGTGGAGTCGTGCAATTAGCAAATAAATAAATTATCAGCGCTGCCCGATTGATACACTCTGTACATGGTCGACTGTATTTATGTAATTATGAGCGCTAATTAAAAGAGCGGCGCTCTCGATTATCGAGATTCGGTAATTAAAATAAATTCGAGTCAACAAAAACCGACGATTATTGAATTGAATGCAATTTTGATTGTGAGGAATATATTATTATTATTTGTACTTACATTGCGGCCTGACTGGGTAGTGATGCTGGTGGGTGAGGTGCGAGCGGTGGTGAGATTGGCTCGATGGGTAGTGGGTGTAGGGCGCGAGGAACTGTTGCTGGCTGTGATGGTACCCCAAGGGCGAGTGGGGCCCTAAAACTGAGGGCTGAAGACGTGCTTTCAGCTCGTCCGTAGACGTGTGTCCGCTCGACGAGCTGTCCACATCCGACACGCCGGAATCCGCAGGACTTGGCGGTAAAGATCCTGCAAAAAAATAACAAGAAATGCAAATTTATTAAACATGAATTCGTAACATTCTGATAAGTTATCATTATATAATGGTGGTTTTAATTGTTAATTGAATTTATAAATCGTTCTGATATTGCGTGCAATGATCATAAATCGAAAGTGATATTTGAAAATAAGAAGTTGTAATGTGATGAGTATAATAAGACACCGACCGAGTTCCTGTTAGTTGAGCAACGATATTTACAAAATAATTAATACGCCTGGATTATCTTGCCAAGTGTATTAAGTGACGATTGCACATAATCAGGAACATCTTCAAGGATATGTTATTTCGGAGATACTATCCGCTAATACTCTCTATCTGATTCTCTCAAGGATGTGCCGATGAGCGCGCAAACTTATTTTCGTGGTGTTTCCAATTGCGTAATCTTTGTCATCGAAGCGAATTGAGCGGGATTAAAGGAATGAGACTTTTAGGGACTGTTAGAGAGGTGGCGGGGAGTAGCTCAGAATTCGTTAAAAACAACAAACCGCGTCGTCCTGAAAACGCAAATAAATCAAAACATTTCACCGGCGCTGAATGCGTATGCAAATTGGGGAACACAGCCGAGGCGACACAGTGTCGTCCTGGTCGAATAATAATAACAACAGTAATAATAAAAATGCGTGTGTGTATATAGATGGAGGAAGGAATAAATGTACAAGGTAGAAAAAAAAAATTGAAATGAAAGAGAGTTGGGCGCAAGAGAAGAAAGGAGAAAACAACAAGAAGAAGTGACCATCAAAGCCCTCAAGTTCTCACGTACGTACTCCCATTCAGGGCCTGCAAATCGCAATAATCAAACTATCCAACGGTCATCGTAGGTAACGACATAATCGGGGAATCTTCGTGCGGCCCATGCGAATCATTCGTGTAGATTGAAAGGGCTGCGAAGGATGAAGGGTTGCGATGGTCCGCTGCTATCTGGGGCCCCCTCCTGCCGTGACCCGGCCTCGTATAATAGATATGATTAATGGGCAGTGAGGTCAACAGGTCAGGCCGGACATTAAGGGATGGACCGGACATCGGCTCGCGGAATTAAACAGGTTCGCTAACATAGGCGGCACAAAAAAAAATATATCCACAGAATAAGGGGAGGAAGAAGAACGGCTTGCACATGCCATTTGGGGTGTGTTGTTTATTTACTGCCGGTCCCTTTCTTCGTCGTTCTTTCTTTCTCTCTCTCAATCGCTCACCGTCTTCCGCACAGAGAGAAAGGACAAGGGACGAGAGAGAAAAGGGTGGCGAAAATGGGGTTTCCAAGGCATGCGTGACTAATGGAGATTCGGCCAGACTACTACGACGTGTCGGCCGCTAATCCTAGACCTCCTCCCCGGCGCGGATACACTTCCTCGCAAAAGGAAGAGCCTCGGTCATTTCTTCACACGACCCGAAAGAAAATTAATTACTCAAAACAAGATTTCCTCAGGCAACAAAAACCTACCCCTAACGAAACCCTATTGCTGTTAAAGAAATTACATACAAATAGAAACTAACAAACTTCTTAAAGAATCTTTATAAATTTCAATCTTCAAATTTTGTAAAATAATTTTCATTTAAATAAAAACGAGAAGATATAACGATTTTACTTTAAGAAATCTGTTTTGTATGAAATTACGTTCGTTTTCTTTTTGTATGGAGTTGATTGTTGCATCAAAACTTTGACAAGTGGTCAATGACAACGTGAATTGACCAGAATTGGGAACGCCGTAAATTTTGAAAGGATAATTTGAAGAGAAAAAAGGTTTTATTACATTTTGGGTGGAATCGTTTTTTGGTATCCCGTTGGTTCATCGGGGTAAAGAAAAAAAAAAGGTATGTTATATCGATCCTAGGTATATCAAATGTCGGTTTCGTGAAGTGCGAAGCGTCGAAGTGAAGAAGAAGTGAAAGAAGACTCGTTTTAGCGGTCACTAACGGATCGCCGGTCTATTTTTCCCACACGGGGAGATTATGTTAAACTATCTACAGTTATCTGCTGCTTCTCCTGGTCAAGGGGTGTGCAATGTGTGCGCGTTCCACCTATTTGCCTATTAACTGGACACTCGCTGACCACCCTTTCGGAAACCTGTATTTACCGAAATAAGTGGCCACTAATTCACATAGCGCAAAACCAGTTTCCATCTGGGGAAAGGAAAAATCACGGATTTCCTTTTCCATGAGAAAGCGGCGCGCGGAGCGTTTAAAGAGAAAGAGCGAAGGAAGAGAAGAAATAAAAAAAATAAATTGTCGAGCCGGTCAAAAGCGCAAATTTTTCGAGATGCGATGAGGGGTCGCCTCGTTTAAGAAAACTGAAAGGGGGATGATGGACCGCAAGTGAACAAAACGTCTGTTGTCGGGATTTGCGTATTAAGGTGTGATAAATCTCAGGTAATAATGATTATTCTCCAAAACAAATCTCATTACAAAGAGCCCGGAGGGTCGCCCATAATGGGATGAAATGGACCACTCCAATCAAAACAATGTAATGGAGAAGCGGTGAGAGGGAGAAAAAAAAACGGCCCGCAGGTACGGCTGCTGCAAGCTTATGCAAGTCAACGTCGATAAGGGTTGACTCATGCACTGAAATCCGCAAGTGTCGAATTTCCCTTACAGCTGCTGCTTCGACCCTCAGAAAAACAAGGTTTTACGTATTATTGCGAAAGCTTGCAGCAGCGGCAGCCGCAACCCTTCCTCCGTTTGCAAAACAACAAGAAAAATGGGGTGAATCAAGGAATAATGCCGAGTTTATGCAGATGTGTCTTTAGGGAGTAGGAATGCTGCAATTGTCCGATACTCACCAGTTGTCGTTGTGTACGCAGATGTCCTCGACGCTGTGATGAGGGCGTGGGCGGGATGAAGACCCGTGTGTTGTCCTGAAAGGATTCCATGCAGAAGGGCCCTACTATCGGGCCGATGGAGTTTGCTCGGGGGCGGCGACTGCGACAGAGGATTGTACACCACCTCGCTGCTATCTACTGAAACCAAATCATAAACGGGCATGAAAATACTTTCTCAAAAAAGAAAATCAATACGAAAAACACATACAAGTAGTAAACGATATCAAAAAAATAATACAATAAATATTCTTGTTACTATTCCTTTCAGATTAGAAACTTGCATTTAACAGAGAATTTTTATTGAAAACTATTACAAACGTTTCTATTAAATTCCTTATTGAGATTTCATTGAGGAAGTCGTTCTTTATTCAATTGATGCAAATTAAACACTTATTATGCATTTAATTGCAGTCCATTTTTGATGGTATGCATGAAATCATCTGGATATTAAACTTGAGATCCAAGTAAAACCTTGATCGTTGACATAGTGAGAGCCGCAAAATGAAACGAAATGGAATTTAATTGATTTCCTGTGCGAACAACTCAATTTAACGACTTTCTCTAATCATCCGCGGACGAGAAGAATTGCATCCGTTTTCCCTTCACGTCCTTCGCGATTTTTCCAGACACATGTTAACTAACTTTCTTTCGATGGAAAAACAAATTTATTATGATAAATAGTCGATCGATTTCGGGCGTTATCTGTGATTTTCTCGAGGATTGATGTGATTTTTTTGTTGTTCTTCTTCTTGTTTACTTCTTAGAGTTTCCGCTCAAGAGCGCAAGAGCACGCGGCTTCATCGGCGGGCCGGAAGGGAAAGTCCCCTTGACCCAAATGGGCCTCCGGTAAAGTAATATACGTGTAGTCTATAAACTACGAATGTATCGTGGAATAATAGAGAGAGGAAAGAATGGGATGATGATGAAGGTGTACCGAGCGTTTGCGTAACGACACACAAAACAACAAACAAACGAAAAAGAGAAGAGAAGAAGTGTCGTTGCGTAATGCGATGTTAAATCGGTTGGCGTGAAAATGAAAGCCGAAAATTTTGCCGGATGAAAACAAGAGTGTATTTTCGTTTGTGCCTTGTGTACAAAGTCAAAGCCAAAGGCGTCCAATTTTGTTTTTTTTTCTGCTGTTTGTGCGTGTTGTTGCTGGTCGGGACGACGAGACACAACAAAAATATAAGTGGACTTTTTTTCTTTTGCGTAACACCAAGCCAGTCTAATTTCGCTTTCGAAGAATAAAAGAACGGGGGCGATATTTTCAAGTGGGATTTCTGCGGATGAAAAGGGGTTTGCGATGTCGGATTGACCCAAATGTGATCCAGAGGGTTGTTGGATGAGAGCGAGAGTTGGGATTTAATGGGTTGTTTGGTCTGTGCAGGCGACGGCGGTGGCGGCGGCGTCGTTTGCTGCTGCTGCTGCATGAGCGCGTGGGCGTGGGTCGGGCATGACCCGGGGCGTCGCGACGTTGACCCTGTGGAAGGACGCTCAGTCTAGCCGTATCGACCAACCACGGGCGGGGTTGTGCAGCCGTGGAAAGCGAAAGCGTTACCCTGTTTATTGGGGAGGCGAACCCTGGTTTCCCGACGGCGGCAACCGCGCCTCTCTTCCTCCTCCGCCTTTCACCCCCACATCCAACGCCGCCGTCGACGCCGGTTTTGATCCATTGCTCCGTTTGCATTCATTAGCTTGGAAGCGACGCCGCCGCCGGAAATTGCCGCCTCGCGACACAAACAACCACCGGATATGATCACAACAAATATCGCAGAAAAAAAAAACTATACACTTTTCTATAGAAAATACAAGCAACAAAAAAATCATATTCCATTGATTAAAAAACACATTAATCCTCGTTACTTGTAAACAACATTAATAATATAAACACATTCATGAAATCATAAAAAGATCAATATATTGCGAATCAATTTAAATCTATGAGTCTATTAATATTGTCCTTATTCTTTCATTTAATTATAATAAATATGATCGCGTTATTTTAATTATAGATTGATGTGTCTATGTATTTTTAGAACTTATTAAGCACGTCAATATTTACCATGTAAATATATATTTTGTTGATTAAATTGGCATTTCCTTGATGCCATCAATAACAGTTTAAAAGAATAATATTCGAATGCGCGCTATATAGACAAACATGTTGTTCTAGCGAAATAATCTAGACAATTATAATTAAAATTGAATCCAATTGAAATTACGTTCTTGACCAGCGTTTTTCGGTTATCTCGGTGGAAACGAGGATGTTATGATTTTCCGGCTGTGATTTTCCAATCGCCGATGTTGTTATGATGGAAACGGTGCTGGCCGCTAATTAAAATAGTCGAGCGCAGAGCGACAGTTTCAACTTTGAACGTTCGTATCTCTAAGGATTGAGAGACAAGAAAAAAAAAATTGTGGCTTGTGAAAACAACTCGCAATTTCCAATAACATATGCAGATTATCTTGCGTTTTCCTGCAAAGGGTACGAAGAGAAAACTGTTCCCTCGCTCGTGTGTTTTTTTTTGTTCTTCTCTTTTTCCTGTCTAATGAAAGGGGAATCAAAGAAGAAATGTTGTGGGCTTTTCCCTTCTTTTTTTTTTCTTATTCAAATGACCATTGTGCGGGAATACAGGAATCGGTTGGACCCTGGCCCCTTTCGGGTTTTGACAAAATTAATCTTAAACGGATTTGGGGTGGACGACATCCATCCATCCATCCCCAATGGAGACCGAAAGCGTTTTTCCTTTTCCTCCATATCGGGTGGTAAAAGTGATCATCATCATCATCTTCCGATTTGGAGAGATGCATTTGCGCGAAGTGTGTCAGTGGAACGGATTGTTTAGAACGCGTTCACTCGGAGAGGAGATGCAATTTCCGAACGGTGCAGAATTTCCAAATGGAAGATGAAGCAAAAAAAAAATAAGAATGGAAGAGCGGAAAAATTACTCCTTTTTCGGAGGAAGCGACCATATGGATGAATAAAGAGGAGATACAAAGAACGGGTGTCGGTGTGAGAGGGAAACAGAGAGAGAATAAACGAACGCGAGTCGCTCTTACATAAGAAAACTTTAAGTAACCGCCGTGATTTGGGTTAAGGCTAACTGGTATAAAAATTAAATACTTGTACGCGGCGCGATTGCATAACACATCCAACGTGTGTGTGTATGTATGTTTTGTATCTCGTTGGATGTGTGCGAGCGTGATTATTGATTACACGTATTTGTTTGGCCCAATTGAGTTGAGTTTGGAAAATGTCACGTGGAGACGCCTGCACATCCATCCTACCTATTCGTTTTATTTCGGTGGGGGTGCAATCATTTTCGTCGCTCCAGTTGCTGCGAAAAGTATGGAAATCGTAGAAAATGCATTCCACGGCTAATGGCGTTTTGCTTTATTTCACTTTCTTGTCTTTAATTGCGCTCGGGCTCGAACCGCAGCGAAATCGGTTTCGTTTGCACGCGCGTTCTTCGCACCGAGAGGTAAGCAGCAACATGGAAAAGATCGTCGAAGAGTGTGGCCATACATAGACGGGGAATTATAAACTTTCCAAAAGAAACTGTAGACACGAAGAGGAGAGGAATAGTGATCGTACCGAAAATGATGGAACTTCTCTATTTATTTATTTTTTGCATATGAAACGAAAATAGCGGAAAACTAGGAAGTTTGGGAAAGCTTTCGATCTGATAAACGCAGGAAACGAAAATCGTATTAATCACGTTTTAAACGCCGTTTCAGAAATTAGCAAATTTCCTCAAATGCATCCTCAAATGCCAATTTGTTTAGGTCATTACGAAATGACCAGATTAACTATTCAATTTTGTTGTAAATAATTAAAAGATTTTTTAAATTAATGAAATTTTAAATTTGAATTATGCATATATTTATGAGTTTTCTAAAATCTTAAAAATTTGTTGAAATTATATAAAATTGAATAAAAAGGATTTTCATTAATAAAAGTTGAAAGTAGTAGTTTTTGAATGAAATTGAAGCTCTGGGAAAATCGTTGTTAAGTGGGTATAATTAGCAGGAAAGGATTGAGGCTAGGATTGCTTGGAAATTGTGTTTTAATTGTGATCGGTATCGTAAGGTAATAATAGTATAGTAAGTAACTAATTGGAGGAAAACGACAGTAAATGGCGACGCCGTTGTTGTTGATGATGATGATGATGAAGAGATAATAAGCCCGGATATTTTCGGACGGATTTTTCGCGCAATGGCGGCGGCGGCGGAGCAGATAATAATAAATAACTCGGTTGAAGTGTGCGAGTTTGAGTGTATGCACATATATGTATACATGTGTGTCTGTGTGTGTGTGAGTGGATATAAAAAGCGAAACCGTTCGCGAATTCTTTTATGCCGCACGGCGTACTTGCAATCACGTGATCGTTGATTTCAATGTGTGTGCGTTGAACAAGTGAACGTCGACCTACATACCTCATTTCCACACCGACAAACCGGCTGCTGACATCATTCATGCCAGTTTTCGGCAACTATTATCACATACATGTCGTAACAGAAACGGCACACACAGAGGAGAACCAGGTATATGAAATATCGTGCGCTGCTCGCGATCTTCATTATTTACGCTTAGGTCTTCAGCATCTGGTAATTGGTAAAAAAATATTAGCTTAACTTAAAGAGCAAATCGAAATCTTCGATTGAGCTTTAACCGGATACAAATGTAAGATCATTAGCTTCATTTACCAATGCTTCAAATTTACAATAACTGCAATTAGTTAGGTATTAGTATAATGTTAAGGGCTATTAGATTTGTTTAGTTTTCAATGTCCAAAATTGATCGTTAAAATGTGTTGCGTACTTCTTCATTATTTTTTTTTTCTGTCGCTCTTATAGAAAGTGTTTTGACATTTCGATTCTGAGAATACTTAAGGAACGAATAACTCAACTCTTCTTAGCGGCTTCGATTCCATTTTTATGAATTGTTTTTGGCTGCGAGAATCAGGTCGCGAAATTAATGTTAAAAGTGTTTTGCAACCGCCGCCGACGACGACGACGACGTATACATATACAAACGCGTACGCAAGAGATGCCCTCCTCCCGCACCGCGACGTTATGTAACACGAAACCGAAATGCATGTGGGTCGTTGATATCATCAATCCGTTGTTACCCGTTGCCGTTCTGTATTTGTTGTTGTTATTATTATTATTTGCCCAAAATCGGCAACCTCGCGCGTTTGCCAAAAACAACAACATGCAGCCACGAAAAATGCGTCTTCGCGGTGAAAGCGACAGTGATCCTCCAAGGTTCCCGCGTGTGTCCGATTGCGCGGCGAATTTAAAATAAAACCAAATAACCCGGAAACCGTAGTAGTACCATTATTTACGGATCGCGAACGCAACAGGAAGTTGCGACAAAAAAACCTCTCTCTCTATACCTGCCGTGTGTGTGTGTGCGTCCCGTGCACAATTCTAATCTTCCTCTATAAATACAAAGTTTTCTCTTCGATTCGTTTCGTTGTCATCCGGCAAATCATGATGGTGATGATACCAGACGCGTTCCAATTCCGGAAAGCCCGTCACCTGCCAGCATATCAGGCATATTTATAGTCGTCCTTTTTTCCAATTTATATAAACCGCGAATTAGAAACAAATACATGAGACAAGAGGAAGAAATAAAATAAAAATGAAAAAAATAGATAAATAAATAAATAATACACTTGGCAAACGGATTAACGTTGAGAACGAAAATAAAAGTTTTACGATCCACTCGAGAATTCCATCGCGTAAATGCTCTTCGACGCACATTTATTTCTCTTATTACTACGTTCCGACGTTTGAAATTAATATATTTCTGCCCACGTGCTTCTTCTTTTACTTCTTCGTCGTCGTCATCTTCTACCAGTCGTAGGTACTTCCTTTGTGCCGAGTGGAGACGCATCGGAATGAAGAGGAGAGGCGCCTCTTGCTTGCACAAGTCGCGGCTTTTTATATCCGTGCAAAATGCACGGAATCAGGTCACGAAAACTTCGGTTCGTTGCAAACACGGGATATTTAAAAGAAAAAAAAAATAAACTGGACATATAATATCAAATAAACATAGCTGTAATGTAATCATCATCAATTTAACTATGATTTTAGAAGGTTGATATAATGAATACTACAGTTTGCTTCATGCAGGAACAGTTTATAAAAGGTACAGATTATGCAAGCAGCAAAACTAAAGTTCGAAAGTTTCTGTGAGGGCAGTTTGAAGAGTTCGAAATGGTTTTTTTTCGGAATGGGCCACTCTCACTTTCGCGGCCGGCGCTCGCGGCCCGCCGTTACGTCACGCGTCCGTCCCGCGCGGTCTATCGACATCGATCGGACTAGGCGCGCGCTCGTGACGTAACGTTGCGGAACGCAACCCGAGGCGACGCACCGAATTGCGAAAAATACCCGGAATCGCAGCACAACAGAAGACCAGGAAGAAACGTATCGAAGATGTTATAAGAGAAGAAAAAAACACATACAGTTATTTTTCTGATCGAAGAGGTATACAAAGATGCAGCCCTTTGTTACAGTTATGGGGGTGTTTCTGTTCCGTTAAGGTTCGATATCGGTTGTATATAAAAAAAAAAGAAAGGAGAACAGCGCTTGGGACTTGAGGGTGAGAGGATTACAGTTATGCATGGGAAAAGGGCAAGGTCGCGGAAGTTGAAGCAGCAGACCCTTAAAAAAAAACGGAATGATTAGAATAGACGATTTCCGGATAGTTTTACATATTTCCTCTCTTTTTTTTTTCTTTTCTTTACTTACAATCGTGAGGCGTGACGAATAATAAAAAATGTACAGTTTAAGAGCATTTCTGAAGGAACAAATCGAAAGGCGGAGGAGGAAATAATTGAAAATGAAAATTAAAAAAATAAAGTACACATAACACTCGATCTGAGAGAGAGATAGAAAACAACATGTATATCAACAACAGATTACGTGGACAACGGGTGTAACTGTTCACATATAATTTTTGCATACTGCGATTTGCACACAAGCCGGAATGAATGTAACTGTTTAAACTACATAATATTCAAATGGGTGATATCACATTCATTATTCGCAATTAACAGTTAACCGCGCTCTCTTTAAATGTCAATTAAGGTGTATGCAGAAGAGATAGTAATAATGCGCATTGTCTTTTCTTCGCCTGCTTCCTACTAGACAGACACACGCGGACAAAACTCATTCAGATTCTTCCAATCAGGTTTTTCTTTCGCTTTCTTTCTCGAACGAAAGGAATTCGCACGTTAATTATACATTAATTGACTTGCGCATTTTCAAAATTTTATTGTTAATTCAATATAGTTTAACTATAATTTCTTATAATTGATTCGCTATGTAAGTAAGATTGCTAGGTAATTGATTATAAATAAGTTGACTCAATTTGTGTATGAGTAATTTAGGAAGGAAAGTTTTGAATTCTCTCTTCGATTAAATTGGTTGGAAGGAAGGCGAATAAGACTACGTCTGGGACTTTAAGGAGAAGATCCTCGACCTTGGCCTTCGGAAACAACCCCCGCGATCGATCCCCGACTACTTCCTTGTTATTACACACACATGCACAAACACGTATAGGTGGAACTAGTTAATTGATGAAGGCCGGGACAATTTGTTTCCTGAATAAATGAAATCCATCGATTCCCTACGCCACCCTCCCTCGACCGTGACCTAGAGATATGACGGGGGTAGCAAGGATCGAGGATGCCGAGACACTGACTAATGGATCCCGATCTACCTGCCCCGAATAAAACGCACTTTATTCAAAATACCCCCTCGAGATGAACAACATGAAAAAATAAAACTACTCCCATACGCGTCTATCTTTTTCTAATTTGACCCATTTTAACCCAATTTTTGAAGCACAGTTAGGTGTGCAGGTAGATGCTTCGTTTTTTTTCCTTTACAAACACCCCCTTATTTAATACGGTAAAATATCGAATGCGATTTCCGGTAGTTGATGGGAAGATGAGGTGTTGGGATTATTTTTTGTTATTACTAATTTTTTTTTTCCTGGTTTTGGACTTACAGTAGCGCTTCATGAGGCTCTTCTTGTAGGCTTTGCAGTCGAGCCCTTCGGGGGAACAGCGACCCCCGGAGTCATCGCTCTCGGTGCCGGAGTCACGATCCCTGAGACCGGGACTCAGACGACCCCCGTTCACACTTAAATCTAAGGGCACACAGTCGCTGTCCGAGTCCGTCTCTTGCTTGATGTCCGGCTTCTCCTCCTTGATGGACTCGGGTGTCCTGCTGCGGCTCACCGGAGCGATCATGCTTTGTAGCAGCATGTTGCGCACTTCCAAGGTGTTCTGGAGATGCTGCAGTATCATCACGGTTTCGAGTCAATTTGGGTTCATATCACTTCACTTTAAAAGGGGAGTATATAGTATGTTTTCTGGGCAACTGTTTTGGGGGTGTAGCAGTATTTGGTAAGATTGTGTTGTTGTGTATCCCACTGAGGATGATGATGGTCTAGGCTTCACAGATCTCTTCACTGGTGATGATGGTAGCTGTGGCTAGGATAGCGCGCGTCTAACAAACAGTGTGCGAGCGATGTGTATGCGTTTCATTAAGAAAAGGGTTGAGCTGTGTATAGACGTCCACACGTACGGAGCGAAACCCATACACTAGAGTGTAGACTGTAGAATTCTTGCTGCCCTAGTGACTCAGATACGGGACGTTCGGTAGGATTCGGCCGACGTCGGCGGCATTCACTTTCAATAGGACGGACGGACAGTGCGCATTGGGTAAGGTTAGGCACACTGCGTTTAGATATTAGATACATACAAACCACATCACATCACATACATCTATATCTATGCCTAGCGTCTAATGTTAAATTGTTGTAAACAAAACACTTCCGCGTGGGCGTGGACCGAAACTTATACGCCCTCCCAACCCATAAACCCAGCAAATAAATCAACACCAATACCAACCTTTTCTAATAACCAATAACCAATTTCTAAACTCACCAATTACACTTGCAAATACTTATCTATATCATATTGCAATTCACTCTAAATCTTAGAAACCAATCTTATAAAAATAATCATTTCAGATCATACACTAAGTCAATACTTTCATTACTATTCCAAAAATTAAATTTTAAAATTTAAACTCATAGTTGATAGTGGACAAAATTAATAATTTCATTGTTTTTAACTATTACTCATTACTTACCAAGTATTTTTTTTGCTTATATTTGGTAGTACGTATGGAAAAAGAAATATAATTCATTTGTCAATTAACGAGTAATGTCAAGTAAGTGTTAGGAATTTAAAAAAAAGAACTTTTCAAATATTTTATAATCTACTTGGCAAGTATCAAGTAGTTTGTTATCTTATTGATAAAATAAGAGAGTCATCTAGTATTAAATGAAATCTGTAACGTTTGTAACTTAAACTAAAGTGAGACTAGACTAAGTAATCAAAATTAACTACTTCCAAGTTCTCAAGTAGATTGTCAAATACGTACTATTGAATTTACAAATGTTTGGTAGTCATGGAAACTTCAGTTGTTTTCTATAAATTATTTGATTATTATTGGAATTAGTCAGTTGATAGTGGACGAAATTAATAATTTCATTGTTTTTAACAATTACTCATTACTTACCAAGTATTTTTTTTTGCTTATATTTGGTAGTATGTATGGAAAAAGAAATATAATTCATTTGTCAATTAACGAGTAATGTCAAGTAAGTGTTAGTAATTAAAAAAAAGAACTTTTCAAATATTTTATAATCTACTTGGCAAGTATCAAGTAGTTTGTTATCTTATTGATTACAAAAAAAAATTCATTTTTACCCCATTTTGGGTAATTTACCTCGGTTTCCCGACCGCTGTATTAAACCAATAAAATAATACACAGCAACAATTGCATATGTCACAATAATACAAGATATTGGTGACATTTGCAAATGTACATTAGATTATTGTAGAGAAAGGAAACGAATGTAATTTAATAATTGCATTTTAAATTCGAATTGTGATATATTCACTCAGAAATCACGCGTTTCCACAAACATCGCAATTCCATCAACTTGTTGACTGAAAATATCACCATTTTCTGACCTTCATCTACAATAATAGCTTAATCGCAGGTCTCTTGCGTTTAATTCGCTGGCGTTAGGAACTCAGGAATCAATTACAACAATTGTTGTTAAAACTCATATATTATCGAATGATTGAGAGAGAGAGAGAGAGAAAAAAAAACAACAAATATTATAGGAAATAAGATAAATTGACTTTGAATAACAAACATTTTTATTTAGTAAAGCTAATAAACGTGATTGCAATTCTATAAACGTTTCATAATCAATATTTTTGAAGCGATTTTTGAATCTTTTTGAATATTAACTAAAGTTGATTGAAAAATCATTGTTTAATTAGTTAAAACTATGGGTAATTCTTAATGTCAATTAGCAGAAGATGTTATCTAATCATTAGGAAATGCGTTTTCTAAACGACAACTTAATTGCAGACGAATTTGTAAAAAGGAAATGTTTTTCTTCGTTTTTGAACAATAATAAATCAATTGATTTTCTAATCAACCAAGATTATTTACTTTAAAAACTAAACACAATCACTTTATTATCGTTTTACTAAATATACGTTATGATTCATAACTGCAAATCAAATCTAATGAATCGATTAAAAATTATATCACGTAGGATGTGAAAATATTATAGAATTTATGTTCTGCAAAATTTCAGCACAATTACAATAATTTTGGTTAAAACGTGAGTTAGACATTTCATCACGTCCGCAAGGATAATTGTATCACCTCAGAATTCCCGATTTCCTAAATTTATTTATTTTTTACCAAAATTATGATAAATCTCTGAATTAGTAATTGTATCACGTATACAAGTCTAGAACTAAGAATTGTTTCACTTTAACATTTCCGATTTCCTAAATTTGTGGCACATGAATCATTCAGTATCACGTAATAAAACAAACTTATTTCTGAAAATCTATAAATTTTTTCTTCATTATTCTAAATTTATACGCTTTTCCATGCATTCTCGTTAAGAAAATATTAAGTTAAGCAAATTTATAAATATTTTTACTTGAATATTAAAAGTACTTAAATCAAAGAATGTGCAAGAATTAATAAAAAAAACAACAGCAAATGTAAAACAACAGCACAAGAGAGAAAAAAAAAACAACAGCAGCAGTGATCTTGAAATTGTTTCCATTTGATTTTCTAAACAACGTACACAAACACACACACACACGATGAATTATGCAAAACGTGTTATTCAATTTAACTGTACTGCGGTAGCACATTTATAGTTGCGTAATTCTGCAAAAGCGTAATTGAAATTAACAGTAAAACGCGGAGCGAGTGACTTTTCCTCGCGTTATTCGGAAAACACCCGGAGGAATTGCGAGAGAAAAATAACCAAGAATATAATGTGGAACTTTTTTAAAGTCGAAGTGAATGCGAATAAGAAAAGGAGTCCTTAAGGACTTCATGAATAAACCCTCACACGTTTAAAGGAAACTTTGGAAAGTGAACAAAACGATCGCACGTAATATATATTTTTTTTCTCGTTGTAACTAAGTTTATCTGCAAATATGTTATTTTCTCGAATAAGAGATAGTAGTTTTTTTTTTCACTGTAGGGTTGGTTTCTACGAAAGGGGTGCTCTGACCCCTGCGAGTAACAAAAATTTGCATTGTAACATAAACCGCGCAAACATTCAAGCTTCTCGATATGATGAAAGGATGACCGTGAAAAGAAAACTATCCGCCCGATAATCCTAAAACTAATACAGGTATTGCGCAACGAGAATTATGCAAATGCTGAGCTGAAAGTGGAACCTGATACGGAGCGCGAAACAGGTTCCACGATTTGGAGATGGACCCGAAGAGATCTTCTCGACATCTGTGATCCTTCTCGCAACATGCACACACCACCACCATCATCGATATGTTATTACAATCCTGCAGAAAGAGTATATTTCGGGTTGTATCAGGCTGCAGAGTATCCAATTACAGGCGAATCTTCGGGATAAGGCACGACCTATCGAATTGCCGAATTCATCTGACGCACGCTTTAACATTTCACAAATTTGCATCTACCAAAAACAACTTCACAAATGAGTTATATACAAATAAAGATCGTAGTTATATAATAAATTGGAAAAAAATTAACGTTCTATGTAAAAATATCGAATGGAGTTATTCGGATCCGATCATGAATTTGTAATTGCAGAACATTAAAGACCGATAACATCGTATTAAGTTTAATGCTATTCCTTTCAACCATACTATTATAAATTCGCGATTGCTATCATCATTATCCGTCGCATACTTGTATTATTAACTCTCAAATATCTCGCATATTTTACATAACGAAATCACATTGCGCAATAATGAAAATAAACAAGCGATGTTTATGTTTAATTTGCACTTGAATTATTATTCACTTCGATTATGTAAACTTTTGTTTTTTTTTTGTATATATAATACACTCATCCCTTGATTTACACGGTTTCGTTTTACACGGTTTTATTATTTAAATCGATTTAAAACAAACCGAATTTTTATACTTAGTCATAATATTCATCCAAACTTTATGAACATTTTTTTCAGACATAATGATTACAATTTGTCAGAAAAAGTGATTACAAAATTGTAATTTATATTGAGTACAAAATCCTAACTTACAAATCTCAAAAAGATGAACATAGTCCTATAAGAATCTTAATAAGATGAACATTGTCCTATAAGAATCTTGATAAGATGAACATAGTCTTATAAGAATCTTAATAAGATGAACATAGTCCTATAAGAATCTCAATAAGCTGAACATAGTCTTATAAGAATCTTAATCCTAACTTTTCATTTTTGTAAAAAAATCGTTACGTGGCGCTTTCCAAGTAACTAGTAAATGTGGATATTGTATATTTCTAAACAAAGATAACTAATTGATAAGTTACTTAGTAATTATTGTATTACGGCTCTTGATAAGCTATTATTGGGTCGGGTGTAAGATTTTTTGTATATAAATACATTCATCCCTCAATTTACACGGTTTCGTTTTACACGTTTTTATTATTTAGATCGATTTACACGATTAATTCAACATATTTTGTACAGAATTCTGTGTTTCATTTTGCACGATTTTTCCAGGAACGTATCTACATATGTATATAATAATGATTTTAATTGATGGATCGTTTTTTTTTCTTCTTCATTCAGAGAACTTCGTGCGTTTTGTTGTGCTGGTTACATCATTTAGAAAATTTCACCCTTTCTTCACAAGCGACAGGTCATACATAAGACACATCCTTTTCAGACACGGACATACACTAGGTATTATTTTTTTTTTCGAAGACCCAACGAAGGGCCGAAACCCGACCCGGTGGGGTCTTTAAAATTATTTAAATGTCCGACGGATTTTTCTATGTCCGAGATCCAAACATTAATCATAAACCATATGATTCTGAATAAATTAACAACCGTACTATACATTAACATTTCAAAAACAAACCGAATTTTCATACTTAGTCATAATATTCATTCAAACTTTATGAACAATTTTTTCAGACATAATAATTACAAAAGTTTAAATTAGACAAAGTCCTAATTTTTTTTATTCATCCAAGTTTATGAACAAT